TCCTTCCGATTGGTTTAAGTCTTAAAAATCCACTTAGCCTCTGCTTAGCAACATGACTATGTCTTACCTATAGCCATGGGGGCAACTTCAAGGGCCAGGTGATAGCAAAGCTTCCTCATACTTTCAAGTTTTTCTGGAACCAACATATGTCTGAGAGTAGTTGATTTTCCTGGTACACACTTGTCAATACCAGAAGTCTAAGTAGGGAGGTGGTCAGTGGATTCCCCGGCCCCACCTCGAGAGAGCGCCGATTGGAATGTGCCTGGAGGGTGGGCCACCGGGAGGACAAGGGTGTTGGTTTAGGCAATCCCCAGGCATGAGTAACTCTTATCTTCTCGTAAGCCTGCTGGGCCTCAGAGTCAGTTTGCTTGTTGATTCAGATATGCCATCTATTCTTGTGCCCAGCTGAGGAGGTTGAAGGCACCAGGTGGCTGCCTTACCCTGGATTCCTTGGCTCCATTCCAGGGGTGGGTGCCCCTAGGCTGAGGGTCACGTGTTGCCAGAAAATACTTGTAACCAGCCTGCCTTTCTTACTGGCCATGAGAGTGGTTCACACACCCCCCACCCCCCCTACCCTACCCCCGTGCTGTTTTAATTTTCCACCCTGGCATTGCAAATTGCTAGGGGTTGTGTTGAAGTGAAAGCAGAATGTCTTATCAGGTGGCAGCTAACCTGGGTGGTGGCTTCCCAAGACCAGGGCTGAACTCTCAACAGTATTGGCAATTTCCTCCACTCCCTAAATACTACTGTTAAAAATCTCTTTTGCCTCCTGACCACTTAATATAAGTAATATACTCCTTTGCATCATATACCCTCAAATAAACTCATCAATGATGAAGACATGAAAGCGTTTAAAAACAGAATGAGGGACCAGCGGATAAGCATAATGGTTACGTCATTGGACTCCCACATAGTTGACCGTGGTTCGAGTCCTGGACCCACCGGCTTAAAATTCACGCTGGGTGCATGTTGTATACATGCCCAATGGAGGAGAAGGTATTGTAACATGGTCATCTCCCGTGGGGGGAGTGATTTCTCACTTTCCGTCTGTCTCTCTCTGTCTCTCTGGCAAGCGCATACAACCTATGGCAAAAATCTCTCAAAAACAAAAAAAGCAGAATGAACAATGCTCCTCCACTGGAACGTGGCAGCTGGTGCCCTCTGCTCTGGCAGCAACCTGGGCTCTTCCCTTGCCAAGAATGTGTCAGGCTGAGGCCCACACAGGTGCGGTGTAGCTAGGAGGTGAACAGTTACAGGTATTGCAAGTGCCTTGTCTTCCAGAACATACGCCTTAGCTGGGAAACAGAATTTACACACCCTGTTCGTTGTGTCGCTATAACTTACCATCGTAAGGCTAAATGTGAAGTTAGAAACAGGTTGCAGGCAAAAAGAGGTTCATTTAAAAGGATTTTCTAGAAGCAGCAGACATGCAGATGTTGGTTTTCCAGGCTCGTCTCCAAAGGCCCACTTGACTGACCCCTCATATGGGTTTAGAGTCCTGCATTTGCAACACAGAATCGTAGCCGGTAGGTAGTGTTGCCCCGTTTTATGCCTCGTCTTTGCACCTCCCTGCTCCTGGGGGTTTACCATTTGTGCCCACGCCCAGGCCTGTGAACCTCATTCGTGTCTTCGCCATGGCAGGGAAAGGGCAAGACCCGGTCAACCAGAGGCTCTTAGCATCGCCTGGAAGGCTTGTTAGACTACACTGCTGTGCTTACCCCCACAAGTTCTCATTCCATGCATCTGGATGGGACCTAACAATTTGCATTTTTAAAGATTATTTATTTCTCCTATGAGAAGGGAGACAGCTCAACAATGCTTTAACACTGCAATCCACATTCAGCTCTAGACAGCCAGGATTCGGGCACACACGGGCCCAGCGTGGACAAGGAGGCCGCGACACCTTACCACGTAGCCTCAGCCTTATGGAACATTGCATGAGTGTTGTACCACCGTGGCTGGCTTGAATTCGTGTTTCTAGCTGGTTCCCAGGTGACGCTGATGTTCCACTCCCTGGAGAGCAGGTCTTGAGACCACTGGAGTAGTCACAGAAGAAGTTAATTCTACAAAGAACTTCTGTATCTGAAATGTTTTCATTTTTTTTGCAACTCATTTTTAAAAAGAGTAATTTCTTCAATTTTACTTTTCTTTTTTTAATTTGCTATAGGGCCTGTGTGCTCATGAGAGAGAGAGAGATGGAGAAAGTGAGAAAGCAAGCTACCAGGTTCGAGACTCCAACCACAGTCAGCCCTGTGGGAATTCAGCATTTTATCCACCATGCTACCTGCAGGATTCGGGCACACACGGGCCCAGCGTGGACAAGGAGGCCGCGACACCTTACCACGTAGCCTCAGCCTTATGGAACATTGCATGAGTGTTGTACCACCGTGGCTGGCTTGAATTCGTGTTTCTAGCTGGTTCCCAGGTGACGCTGATGTTCCACTCCCTGGAGAGCAGGTCTTGAGACCACTGGAGTAGTCACAGAAGAAGTTAATTCTACAAAGAACTTCTTTATCTGAAATGTTTTATTTATTTATTTTTTTGCAACTCATTTTTAAAAAGAGTAATTTCTTCAATTTTACTTTTCTTTTTTTAATTTGCTATAGGGCCTGTGTGCTCATGAGAGAGAGAGAGATGGAGAAAGTGAGAAAGCAAGCTACCAGGTTCGAGACTCCAACCACAGTCAGCCCTGTGGGAATTCAGCATTTTATCCACCATGCTACCTGTTGGCCCCCATATCTGAACTTGTAAGAAGATTCTGTGAGACCAGCAGTGCCCTTCCCCAAGCACAAGAATAAGACTAGACCACCACAGATCCCAGCCTCCCTTGCAGACAAGGCCTCATGTGGTCTATGTTCGCATCCTCTCTCTACTCAAGCCTGGCCTTGCAGAGTCCCCTAGAAGCAAAGAGATTAGGAGAGTGAGGCCCTCTCCCCATGTCTCTGCAACATCAGTTCTGCCTTTGGGACATTGGTGAGCAGGTGTGTGTCCCCAGAAGGCCAGGGCAGAAGCAGGAACAACTTGACAGGCAACACCTTCCCACCTGGTCTGGACCAGGTGCCATCCTGGGCACGTGCTGGTACAGAGCTTGGCTTCTCCCAAATCCCATGGAGCCTGGCCCCACAGCTGTGGACTCCAGGGGCTCCATCAGGCCTTCTAGAAGTTTGGCATCAGGGGGCAGAACCTAAGCTTCCCATTGCCTCTATGGGTCCTCCATGTTAATACTCTGGGTCTACAGATGGACAGATGGCAGGGCAGAAGACAGATCTAAGAAGGCAGAGTTAGGGGCAGGTCCCAGCCTGGGCCTTCCCAACCTTGCTACCTTTCCCACACCAATCCTGTCTCTGCTTCTAAAACACCTCCTTCTAGGGCAGAGAACAGCAGGGGCAGGTACTCTGCGGGCCAGACTGTTCATTTCCCTCTCCGCCCTTGCATGTTGTGTCCACACTTCAACACTTAAACAGAGGGAACACACACGGGCTCCTCTCCCACTTCTGCAAGTGGAGAAAAGGAAACACTAGAGGGTTGTGTGTACTTGCCTTATCAAACACTAAAACTTACTTGGACTGGGTGAGAGGTCTTCAAAAAAGTTACGGCAAATGCGTCCTATGAAAAAACTAGGCGTGCATTTCAAAAATGGTGGCACCAAAATAAAACTCATGTACTTTAATTCCATTTTCTCATGAACTGTTTGAAATCCTCTCCTGTTTATCAATCGATCGACTTTCTCTTCAAAGAGAGCAGATGACTTTACAGTGGAAGAGAGGAAAATACAGGGGGGAAAGTGAAAATGTTTGCAGTCCATCTTTC